GTGACAGCTGGCTCTGCCTAGAGGCAGAGCCAGCTGTACCTGCCCCCTCCCCCGTCCGTTCCGCCAGTCAGCATTGGAGGATCGGAGCGGGGAGGGGGGAATCCAGCCCTTTTAAGCGCTACCTATTGTTTCCTGAATAAGAAAGTTTGTGTGTTTTTTTGAAAGCTCCATTCTACAAAATTGTTACCAAAGAGCATGATATGAGTTCCAATATAACCATCAGTTAGCTGTAATTCAGTAGCATGCCTCATGTTGCCCAGTTTTTGTTTTTTTGTTAAATTCGCTAAACTGTATTAAGTTCAAGTGTGTAAGTTAGGGGAAAAACACATACAGTACATCTCTGCAATACTTGCACATTTACCCTTGTTTTACCAATTTGTAGACCCTGCCAGTGTAGAGAAATACCTGTTCATCTGGCAGAAATCCATCCCTAAGCTGACCATGCACCTATAGATTATCTGCAGATTTTCTATGGTCAGATGAAAAAAGTGCAACAGGTCCCTCCATCTACGCTAAACTGTGTGGATGGAGGAATCTCTCACTGGGCCAAGCTTCAGTATCCTGCTAGTCGGCCCCGTTGGCTCTCGAAATACCTGAACAATGCCTGCATCCAATCTGTTGCACGTTTTCCATCTGACCATAGAAAAGCTGCAGAAAATCTATGTGTATGGCCGGCTTCATACTCCTATGTCCTGTTGTGAGCTGACGACACAGAATTTTTATAGACTGCGTGTCATCAGCCCTGCCAATTTTTCTCTTGTCGCACTACTCAGACAGTTCTCCTTAGGGTAACGGGAGGACACAAACTAGCGTCCTCCCGTCACCCTAAGCTCAGTATACCGTGAGCTACAACTGGCGGTATACTGAGACGCCGCAGCTGAAGCGGATGCCGACAATTATGTCTGGATCCGCCCAGCTGCGTGAGTGACAGCTGGCTCTGCCTAGAGGCAGAGCCAGCTGTACCTGCCCCCTCCCCCGTCCGTTCCGCCAGTCAGCATTGGAGGATCGGAGCGGGGAGGGGGGAATCCAGCCCTTTTAAGCGCTACCTATTGTTTCCTGAATAAGAAAGTTTGTGTGTTTTTTTGAAAGCTCCATTCTACAAAATTGTTACCAAAGAGCATGATATGAGTTCCAATATAACCATCAGTTAGCTGTAATTCAGTAGCATGCCTCATGTTGCCCAGTTTTTGTTTTTTTGTTAAATTCGCTAAACTGTATTAAGTTCAAGTGTGTAAGTTAGGGGAAAAACACATACAGTACATCTCTGCAATACTTGCACATTTACCCTTGTTTTACCAATTTGTAGACCCTGCCAGTGTAGAGAAATACCTGTTCATCTGGCAGAAATCCATCCCTAAGCTGACCATGCACCTATAGATTATCTGCAGATTTTCTATGGTCAGATGAAAAAAGTGCAACAGGTCCCTCCATCTACGCTAAACTGTGTGGATGGAGGAATCTCTCACTGGGCCAAGCTTCAGTATCCTGCTAGTCGGCCCCGTTGGCTCTCGAAATACCTGAACAATGCCTGCATCCAATCTGTTGCACGTTTTCCATCTGACCATAGAAAAGCTGCAGAAAATCTATGTGTATGGCCGGCTTCATACTCCTATGTCCTGTTGTGAGCTGACGACACAGAATTTTTATAGACTGCGTGTCATCAGCCCTGCCAATTTTTCTCTTGTCGCACTACTCAGACCATGCGTACTCTCTCCTATCTCCACAAATATAGGGGTTGATCTCTAAATTGTTTGCTGTGTGAATGAGATTCAATGTGCTGTATGTCCACTAGATGGAGCCAAGGAGCATAGGAATTGCCTCTGCTCCATTTCCACAAATCTCCCTCTCACATTGAAGAGCTGTGCGACCGGTTTATAGGTCAGCTCCAAGGACTAATTGTTCTGTAGTTTCAAAATAAGGATTGGAAAGTCTATTTTCTCCTTGAGATAACAAAGGAAGTGACTACAGGACACAACAGTCCTGAATTTCTGACAGTCAATGGTTATTTTTTGCATTCATCAAACAGTTTTAACACAATGCATTTCACTTGCTCGTGATTGGGCATTTTTTGGAAAGTGAATTTTCACCACATTAACTAAGCTAAGGGTAACTTGCCCTGCAAAGTGCGAATTCCCTTGCAAAGAGAGAGAGAGAGAGACCTATTTGCCATTAGTAAATCGGCCACAATCTCCAAATTTCAGAGTGCAACTTGAGAGGTCAAGGCAGTTCTCAGACTTCAGTTGACATCTGACCCCTTGACCCAAGGCGAAGTTAGACTCAAGCATGGTAAACTAAATAAGAGGGACAACATTCATCATTCAAACATAAGACTGCATAGTTATATTGTAAAGCCGAACTATAACCTAGTCTATTTTTTTTTTTTTTTTATAGACTTTAAAGTTTCGAACTTCTATAGATTTTAAATGCTGCCTTGTGTCTTTTAGATTTTCCCCACACTTGTTCTGTTGCCTATATAGGAAATGGGAAGTGAAGGACACAGACTTCAAGAAAAATCTAACATGTTCTCAGCCTTTCCTTCTACTTAAAGCAGCACTATGGGGAGAGTAAAATACACTCTTCCCAATAGTTAGAGCCAAGGTGTGACACTGCAGATATCGCACGTCGGTTCTATAGCTTAGGGACCCATTTCCACCACATCCAGATCATCTACAGGCCAGATTGTTTCCGGGCCCAAAATGCATCCTAATGTATCCCTATGCTATTTCTGGCCTCTGTTCACACCACCGCAGTCCGTTCCAGACCAGAAAAATACTGCTGGTATGGAATGCACTGGAACGCATAGAAATGCATAAAAAAAACGCACTGCACTGCCTTCCAGATCTGGTCCGGAAAATGGTGTGGACCTGCCCTAAGAACTGATCGATCAGAAACTGCTGATCGCACAGCTGACCTTCTCCCTGCAGAGAGCAGTGACTGTCAGTCACCACTACACCCAGGGATTCCCCCCCTCTCCGATCCTCTAGCGCTGAGTCGAGGGGCAGACGGGAGGGGGTGGGCACAGCTGGTTCTGGTTCTAGAGAGGCAGAGCCATCTGTCAATGCTGCTCTGCAATATCAGCATATAGCGGGCAATAGTAAATGTCCTCCTGTGACTCAAAAGAGAACTAACACCAACTATGGCCATAGTTCTCTTTTCAAGGATTAGAACGTTTTGGTGCGTTGCTGATGTGCTGTGCTTGAACAAGCTGATTAGTCACAATTAGCATTCAGTTAAGATATGCACTGCATTATTGCAATGTGTTTTTGTGGGTTAACCTTTTTCCTACCTTGGATAACAATAAAAAAAAAACTTAGGTGGGGAACAGCAATCACATATATTTTAAAACCATCACCTATATCAAATTTTGAGCATCCTAGTCTGTTGCTGGTTCTTGGGTGCATGCTATTTGAGGCCTAATACATTTTGATATCTATTTACTCTTTCATATTTTACACAAAAAAACAAAATGGGGATTTTGGTGTGTCCGTGTGCACCAAAATTAATTTCATGTTTTTATTATTGAAAATTAGGTTGGATAAAGTTGCAGAAATATTTTGGCGACTTATTTTTTGTTTGAAAAAATAAGAATATCATGCTTCAATGTGTTTTTGTTGCTCAAGAATGTAGGTGTTTATTTCCACAAATGTTTTAGGTAAGTAGACTTGTACATTTAAAGCTGAACCTGCGGTATAAAGAATTATGCATACGTACATTGTTCCCGCTTGGTCCAATGTAAGTATAAATATGCCATATCTGCATACCCTCAGAGATCCTGTAAAAGTACTAGTAGCTGGATCTACTACAGTGCTGACAGCATTTATCTGTGTCCTTTATGGCAATGTGCTGAGGGGCTTCATCTCGGCTGTGAAAACACAGGAACACTCGGTACACCAACTCCTAGTATTTTATCAGTGCAGCACCTTGAAGTACTTGGAAGATCGCTATCTGCAGTGTAGCAGCTCCATCGACTTTATAGAGTGCGCTTGGACCAACCAGATATATCATATGCATGCTTGTAATGGGCCAGGCTGGACCAATGTAAGTTTTATATATAAATATTTATACCTGCAGTCCAGGTTTAATTTTTAACTTCAGGCCTCTAATTTTTGCCTACCATCCAAAACTAGTCAAGACATGAGGACAAACTCCATAGCATCTGTTATGGATATGATTGTTTACAAGGAATAACACTCTGTTGCCACCAGGTGGTGCTGCTAGCTTGCAGTGTGCAAAGCAGTAAAGCCCAGGTTAGCTTAAAGGCTGCCCCATCTCTCCCATCATGATTACTTCTGTGCAGGTGATTACAGCAGAGCCAGACAAATCCCAGGAGTAGCCAATGCTGCTTAATAATTACAGCCTGTGCCTAACTTTTGAGGTTTTCTATAGTTAACAATGGAGCTGGCTCCTAAAAACATCCTCCTAGCTCCTTATGTCCATATAATTTAGTCCACCCCCTGGATAATAGTATGTCTGATAGTACTATGTAAGTATACATTAAAAAAAAATTCATAATACATTTTTTAACTAGATAAAATGACTTAATATCTGCATATATTTCAGCTTTAAAGAAACATGAGTTAATATTTAGAAAACATTGCTTCAGCAGAGATTTTAAGTTTTGGTGTGGGGACAGTTTTTTTTATTTCTAACACAGCCTGTGCTAACTGCCTAATTGTCCAGGGTTTTGCTTTACTGCTCCTTATGTTTCAGGGCAAATCAATAGGTGGGGCTCCATCAGTAAATTGTCATTCAAATGCAAGTGTAATGCATTAATCACTGTCAAAGAAAATGAGCCACTTAATGACTACAGCCTAGAGGGTTCTATATGCATCATGAACATGTGACATACAAACTTGGTACCATGATTTTGTTCTTAACTATTCTGATATATTTACAAGAACTTACAAGCAAACCATTGTGCTTTATATTGATTTGGTCTATAATCTGAGATGAGAATTAACCGACTTTTTTTTTTTTTCTTGCATGTGTTTGTTTTTTAGGATGATGATGCTGATGCGCCTGCTTCCGTGGAGATGAGATGATCAACATTCAACGCTCACTTCAAGGAGGGAGCAAGCACTAATGGTGCTGGAAGAATGGACTTAATGAATGGACAGTCGAGCAATGCTGCTCTCAATGCTAATGTTTCTGAGGTAAAAGGCAGAATTTGAAGTCTGTTTCCACTTGTGGGAGTGGGGTCGGGGATGTTCTTGCAGTGGGGCTGCCTCCAAACTGCAAGGGTTAAATTATTATTTAGGTTTAGGTAACATCAATATAGAATTTTTACTTACCTGATCCCCACTCCCCTGGCAATCGGTGCTCTCTTCTTACCTATGCTCCAGCTTGTGGACTGTCCCTCAGCATTCTTACACCTGATGCAGGGCTATGGGCTCTGCATTGTACTTGATAAAGTCATTGGGCCTCTGATAACCAGAGCTTAGTGGGGGAAGAGGTTCTGGGTGGCAGTCTTGTAGTCTGCAAGAGCGGGGATTAGGTAAGTAAAAGTCCTTGGCACTGCTACCGTAGACCTAAATGCATTTAATGTTTGCAGTGTGGGGGCAGCCCCGCTCCAAGGTGATTTTTTTTTTGGTCCCTGCAAATAGGCTTTAAAGTGATATTAATCCTCTTTTTCTTTCTTTTTTTTTTTACAATATATAATAATAATTATTATTATTAAGAGGGCCAGATGTGATTGAAATTGCTTTAAAAAAAAAAATATTTTAGTTTCCTTGTTCATAAGTTATCCCGAGACCGCTAGCCCCCCCTCCCTGTGTGCGGGTGTCTCCATCAGGAAGCCGCCTGCTGAGAAGACCTATGCGTGCTTGTTCCTGCAGCTAGCTGTGTACGTCCATAGACACACACAGCTTGCGGCAAGCCACGCCCCGTGCTCCCATAGTCACACTTAGACTGCAGAAGGAGCCTATGGCTTCTTTGCCCTCAGTTCTTAACCTCAAGACCAGGAAGTTCCGGGAAAGCCGAGTATCTTCCTGCTCCCGTCATAGGAAATGACTGACCGTAGGTTTGTTTGTGTGGGGGGCGTGGTTAGAGAAAGGTACTGGGCATTTTTTGCATTAATGCAGAGAATGGGATACTTTTAATGTGAATAATTTGTAACAGTGCAGGTAAAGGTATTTTCTATATCATCCATTGAGTGACACAAGAACAGAAGAAATCATAAACTTTTGGGTTATATTGTTGCTTTTAGGAGTAGACAAATCATCATGGCTCAGTTTTTTGTTGGTGTCCTAGGAGGTTGGGTACTTTCCCCTCCTGCTTCTTCTTCAATCAAGACTTTAACATGCTACTGAGCTCTTCATGCAGCAATCAGGATCGTCTAAAGGTGGCCATACACTTTACAACCATCGCAAGACCTTAGTCTTGCGATGGTTGTAAAGTAATTTAAAAAATGTACGATCTGCCCATCTTGGACAGGCAAATCGTGCTCTCTATCATCCCAAGGCCGCCCCCCTGAGGGGCGGGCTTCCGATGACTGCAATGCTGAACGGGCAGTGTGCGCGTGCGCACAACGGCCCGTTCGGCATTTGTCTCCCGAGCACCGTTCAAACCAGCCGAAAATCGTACGATTCTCGGCTGGTTTTCTAGTGTGCTCCCTAGACAAAAGACGTGCGACCGTACAGTAAAAACGGTTGCACGTCTTCCATACACTTTGCGATTATCGTACGATCGCGGGATTTCCCACGATTATCGTGCGATACTCGCACAGTGTATGGGCACCTTAAAGCTGGCCATACACTACAATTATCTGCAGATTTTCTGTGGTCAGATGGAAAAGGTGCAACAGATTCCTCCATCTACACTTAACTGTGTGGATGGAGTAATCGCCACCTGGGCCAATCTGTTGCACTTTTTCCATCTGACCACAGAAAATCTGCAGATAATTGTAAGGTGTATGGCCAGCTTTATACTTGGCACTGCCTTGGAGTCAGTCTTGCATTTTCGCTTTGCATACTGTGCTTTACATTTTGTTATTTTCCATACTCTGCCTGAGTCAACAGCACTGTCATTATTGGAGCAGAGGTACTACCTGCAGTATACCCAGTCTGTAATATTTTCCTGTGTCATACATCTCAGGAAATTATGAAGGCATCCTTGTATGTTTCCTTTACACTTTGCTCCACATTATACTATTTTCCAGACTCATGTGCCTGGCTCTGTTAGCCAAGAGTGTTCTTATTATTAGAGCAGAGGTACTACCTCAGGTATATCCAGTTTTTTGTCAGTTAGCTGTAGGGTGTGCTTGAGTCTCAGAACAGTGATTGTATTTGCGGGTATAGTCTCTGAACTCTCATTGTGTAAATGTTAATACATCACTCCCTAGTACACTCTGGTTTCATAGCATCCTCTGTGTTCCTGGCTCTGCTATATCGTTCTATACCTAACCCTTTGGTACAATGCAGATATTAAGTTCTGCCCCCCTATAGGCTCTGAACTCTATATAGCAGTCACTCCCTCTGGGTATGGAATGCTCTTATCATGGTTTCTCTTACTTTACAGTGAGCTTCATCTGGGACTTACTCTTGTAAATATCTTCTTTTAATGCGGTTTGCAAGGATGTGGTCTCAGGCCTGTATGCACTGTCTCCACTGCTTTTCCAATGTTTTGCACAATGGCCCTTTACTCACTCCACTGAGTTTTATTTGAGGTTTCTTATATTGCTATGTACTGCACTTCGAACTGGGTTCTACCACATGTCCCTTATCACTGTTGTGTAGTTACGACAGGTAGATTTACTATCCAGTCTTTAGACGGTGGAACAGATTTTAGCTGATCCTGCACCCTTATCTGCAACTCAGAATAGGCAGTTTAAAACCTCTCATTCTATAAGTGGATTTTTATTTTTTTTTTATTATTCACTTCCCCATTGTTTCTGGTATAAAAGTTCAGCCTAAGATACTCTGTGTTGACGACAGTCACTAGGAATAGTGTTGTTCACACACACATTACATGTTCCACCCTTTGCTGTTCCCTTTACTTTTGGTCATCAATCACTTCCAGCCACCTGCAATCCTCGCCTGCACCTTCTGTCCAGGTTGTAGGTATGCTAGACGTTGCTTCCTTCAGTTAATTGAGTCTACAGATTAAGGCAACATGTCTATTACATAGGCGGAGGACAGTTCTACAGTTACCAATGACCGAACTTCCCTGCTACATCTAGGAGTGTTTTCAAGCACTTCCACAGGAGCTTGATTCTGGCATTGTAGATCCTAGGACACCTGTTCCTATAGGTTTGTCCTTATCTCCAGCTTCTACAGCTTCACTGCCAGAGCCTGATACCCATGGTTGGTCTACTAGGCCTCGTGTTTCTACCACTATTTGTTTTTTCGTCAGCTAGGGTCCTTGACCCACATCCTCGCTACACTTATGGCAGAATTTAGTTCGGTCCCTATTGGGCCTACACCTGTTGAGGTACCTGAAGCCCATATGGCTATCCCATTTTCAGGAGTTTATCTACCCCAGCTTAAGGTGCCCATACACCTTACAATTATCTGCAGATTTTCTGTGGTCAGATGGAAAAAGTGCAACAGATTGGCCCAGGTGGAGATTACTCCATCCACACAGTTAAGTGTAGATGGAGGAATCTGTTGCACTTTTTCCATCTGACCACAGAAAATCTGCAGATAATTGTAAGGTGTATGGCCAGCTTTATACTGTATTTAATTGTGCTGTTGACAAGTCCCACATGCACTTTGTTGTGGGACTTGTCAACAGTAAGCATTAACCAGGTTGGACTTCCCAACCTGGTTAACGCTGTACAAACGTCCTTGGGCATATAGGAACATTTTGATGATCCAAGTACACAGTCTTTTCTGTTTCTGTGGACTCTTGGACCTTTCTTGTACCCTCTTATCTACAAAATGATCTAAGGGAAGATTTAAAACTCCCCTTCACTTGTGACTTGCGCCACATTATATTTTCCCTTCTTGGAATGACTTGCGCCAGATCATATTTTCCCTTCTTGGAATGACTTGCGCCAGATCATATTTTCCCTTATTGGAATAAACAGTTCTCCCACTTGTTCACTTTTATTTTTTGCCGTTTTTTGTTGACTTTATTGAAAGGTTTGTTTTTTTTCTATTTTCTGCAAGAATGCACACCTGGGTTTTCCCTGTGGCTTCTATTCTTGACCTTTTATTTTCAAACATTCTTATGCTAGCAGATTCTACTCTGGTAGCTTTCCTACCTTACAGTTTATTCAAGTTCAGAATGGTTCCACCTCCCAATTCTCTTGCACCTTCTGTCACATACTATTATTTTTACAATGGTAAAAGTGGAGTCCTGGGAACAAATTTTCCCTACTAGTTTTTCAGATTTGCTCATCTAATTCCTTATAGAACATTTTCCTTATGTTAAGGAACTCTTCTCTGTGATCCATGGATCGGAGATTGCCTACCAAGCTTATCAGCTCTTAATATTTCTTGCCTGGTGTGTCCACCATTTGCATTTTTTAAAACTGCATTCCTTCTCCCAGGTACATTTGCGCACAGTTTAGGGCTGCAACAACTAATCGACATAATCGATTATAATCGATTATTGAAAAAGTTGTCAACTTTTTCAATCGATTTAATCGGCTTCCGATCAGTTGGCCCTGTTCACGACTCCACACACGCTGCGCGCCGCACCTCCTCCCCAACTCACGCTCACCGCTGGCAGGCCCGCATCCACGCTCTACACGCCGC